CTAGCTTGTGGTCTTCATTTTGAGGGCTATCCTGTAGTTTGTAGCCTATCTTCTAGTATGTATCTTTTGGCCTATTTTGTAGTCTGTAGTGTGTAGCCTATCCTCTAGCTCTATCCTGTAGTCTGTAGTTTGTAACCCGTCATGTAGTCTGTAGTTTGTAGCCCGCTTTGTAGTCTGTATTTTATAGCCTACCTTGTAGTCTGTATTTTACCGCATACCTTGTAGTCTGCAGTTTGTAGCCCGTCTTGTAGTCTGTCCTTTGGTGATTTTGTAAATTTTTAATTTGTAATTTTGGACTGTTGGGGGGCTTAGCTTGGTATCGGGGTAGTTTGTAGCTTGTAGCATCTCTCTCTCCATCCATACAAACTATAAATTCCAGATATTCGGCCGAGGCGGCGTTGTGTTTCCTCAATCTCCCTCTACCTCCCGATAGCGCCGAAATGGACTCTGATCGGTACAGAATTATTTTAAAGAACCTTGGAAGCCAAAAAAAATATATCCGACTTGATAGGTACAAATTACATGTCGTAATCGAATAGGCGTTTTTAATTTTAGGGAAATTAGGCCAAACGATATCTGGAATTAGCTTCAGCTTTTGGAATTCCATATCGTAATGCATTGTAAAATCGGTCGACGAGAATTTGACTTGTTAAGGTACCTCCGAATCCTGCGAGTCCTCACCGACACCCTTCCCCCAACACTAATGGTCCACGGATTGTCGTCTGTCATTAGTACGGCTTTGTAGTTACCGTACTCTCTCTCACACTCGCTCTCTCTCAGTCTCTCTCTCTCGCTATCTCTCTCCCCATATATTTCTGTACAGAATCGACCAATCCGGGCCCAACATCCAATGAATCGATCGATAACATGTTGTTCTACTGTGTGATATTTGGTGCTTATTTTTATCCAATTTTCCACTCTCTCGTGTGCAATCCGATTACGCGATGTAATTCGACGCAGCGCTGTTCTGGGTACTGTAATAAATGCGTTTTTGTAAAAACTAAAGCAGGCCACAGGGATTTTCATTGCGTAATGGGTTAGAAAATAAGGAAGCTCAATTGATGGCGTAATCGGCTAGACAGTGAATTTTTTCATGCCGTAATCAGTTGAACCAATACCAATACAGTTTATGCATAAAAACACAAAAATAGTACAGCAAGATACAATTGACGACAAAGATCAACATGGGAGACTCGTATTTTGGATAGGGGGCGAGAATCATCAGGGGGAATAATTATGGCACAAAAAAAAATCGAAAAAATCGAACATCGAGCAAGGTTATCGTTATTCTCTCGACTCCTCATTGTGGATCAACCTCTCATCGGCATGGGCGAGAGAGACGGTCTCTCTCCGTTGCTGCAGGTCTTGCACCATCCTGAAATTCCCAATTTAAAAATCCATAGCTTTTCTCCCCTGCAACGGACCTTTAAAGGAACAACCCTGGCCTAAAACGATAGTTTAACAAGGGCAAACTAGCAGAGAGTTTTGTGGAGATTTCTGACCGTTTGGAAAGGCTAGAGGTTTCGGTATTTCGTATCCCATGGCATGTTTAAAAATATTAAATTTTTATGAACACGGAATTGCCATTTTTTGCGTTCAACGGTGCTTTAAGAATTTAAAATCTATAGCATTTTTAACATTTCTTTTTAGCCCTAAATGGCCCCCTTTAAATATTAAATTCTAAAAACTCGGTCTGAAGTTTTTGCCTTCGATGGTCCTTTAAAAACATCAACTTTTCGAATTAAAAATTTAATTTTCCACGTTCAGTGGCCCTTTAAAAACTTTACTTTTTACAAAATACGCGCTGCTGATTTTTCGCATGCAATGGCCCTCTAAAAATCTTTATTTTCTGCAAAATACTGGTTTGCCTTCAATGGTCCTTTAAACGATACCTATAATGCGCCAACGAATATTTGAATCGAGGCGGTGTATCCGGACATGACATCGATCTGCCAAGCGAAGAACGGGTGACACCAATCCCTCGAGACACACACCATTGTTCTGTCGAATCGGGCATCTGCAACGGAGAGTACGGCATGGGTACGTTAAGAGTAAAGTAAGGCACGCACGTGTACGGGAGGCTACGCAAAGATACGGTAGGGCACGATCCTGTATGGTAATAAACGGCGAAATGAGCCGCGGCAAACACCTGAGGCTACGCTAGGATACGGTTGATGGTTTGACCAGAAATGGATGAAATACGTTACGTGTACGTAGGGCTACGCAAGCATACGGTCCGACCAACGGACCCGATCAGTACGGTAACGTACGTATGTGTACGCAGGGCTACGCTGTGGTAGAGCTACGCAGCGCTACGTTAGGATACGGTAAGATACACCAGCCACTATGCTAAGCCGAGTAAAATTTTAGAACTAGCGCTTGTTTATTGCTCCAAAGAAATTAGGAGCTTTTCACCCTTTTTCTTCTCCTTACCGGTTGTCGCACTAATAGACTCCTCACTCCCACGTATATCTCGTTATGCCGTAACGCGTAGACGACAACGTTTAGCGTTGGGTTCATCACGGCTATCTGAAAAAACCCGATTAATTTATCAAATTTACAAAGGTCTAACCACTTACGCCATGAAATTACGATTGTTATTTTCTAAGGTTTCCTTTCTATGAACCTAAAAATGGAGTTTGCTAACTTTCCACGGCCGAACCGATTAGGCCTTGGAATTACGCTAGTCGAACCGATTGCGGCATTGAAATGGCTGGGCATGGCCGATTACGTCATTTAATTTTCGTGTATAACCGATTACTGAATGAAAATCAATCTGCATACCTTAACCGTCCACAAATAGGCATTATTGAGGAGTCGACTGTGTGGCCCGTCACTTTTCGTGAATAAAGATAGAATAAATACAGCCATAAATGGGACCACGACAAGACACAGTGTCATCACCGAAAAGATGGAAAAAGTACGGACGACACGCGTCTGTTGACGCAACGCCGCGGCGCCGCTTTTGCTCTCGCTGGAAAATGGTTGTTTACCAGTGTCACACTGCCTTAATTTCCCAAATTGTCTCTGCTAGCTGTCTCGCCGCCATTAATCCTCAAATCTCCCTGCTAGTTGACCATTTTCGCTGCCAATTTATTTCTCTATTTTGCTCGTAAATTTCTAGCTGTCACACTGCCTTTAGTTTCCCAAATTCCCACCGCTAGCTTGCTTTCAATTGCAAAAATTTTTGATTGCCTCAAAATTTCACTACTTGCTGACACCCTCCCGTTAATCCTCAAGAAACTCTGCTGGTTGCCCACTTTTTTGGCGAGGATTTCCAGCTGTCACTCTGCCTTTAATCCTCAAAGATTTTTGCCAATTGGCCATTCTCGTTAGTAAATTTCTACCTGTCTCACTCCCTTTAATCTTCACGGATTTTTGCTAGTTTCCCTCTTCACGAAAAATCCAGTTTAATTTCCTCAGCGCTCTTTGCTATCTGTCACGCTCCCTTTAATCAAATACCTGCTATCCAACCAGGTTTCTAGCAAATTTCCATAGATTTTGCCTTCGCTAGTCCTTTAATAGCCGCTTAAAACGGACTCACCGCCTGATCGGCCGCTGTTTTGCATAGCAATGGAAATGACCGATTACGATAGTGAATAGACAGACGGCAATTAGATGGCAGATAACGATTAGGATGGACTCGAATAGCTTGTAGCCGGGGGAGAAGACTTCGCTGAAATGGGAGAGAGGGGTTAGAGAGAGAGCGAGAGAGAGAGAGAGAGATAAAGGGACAGAGAAAGAGATAAAGAGAGAGAGAGAGGGAGATAGAGAGAGATAGAGAGAGCTAAAGAGAGACAGAGAGAGTGAGAGTGGGAGAGAGACAGAGACAGAGAGAGAGAGCGAGAGAGAGAGAGCGAGAGAGAGAGCGAGCGAGAGCGAGAGAGAGAGCGAAAATCGTACCGTGTATCACATCTCGCTGCCACTAATCGATTTTGCGTCAACGTATCTGCAGACGCGTAGCAAAAGCAGATACCGTAGAAAAGGAGAGCAAACAGCGTCACCAGCCTGTAACAAACGATGCTTTAAATCGATTTTAAGCACTAAAACGGCCAGGTTTAACCAGACATGGCAATCCCGGCCGGCCTAGCCGCACGGCCCAGCCGCCGGCCCAATTTCCATAAAAACCCGGCCCCATACGAGCCGCGTTAATGATTTACTTCCGGAAACCCGGCTTCCCGGCCCAGCCGGCTTTTGGTTGCGGCCCGGCCAAGCCGGTCCGGCCGAGCCGGGAAACCGGAAGTTGTTTATTTACGTGAGAATCCGTGAATCCTATGCAAAAATTGTGAATGGAAATGACCAAATTTCTATGGTGGAGTGGTGTTTCTCTTGCCATAAGGCTAATTATTGATTGAATCCGGAATTTGCGTACCGGAAACGCGAAAACATCATTTGGGTCCGGCTTTCCGGCTTTTCAAAAGCCGGCGGCTTCGCCGGGGCTCCGGCCTCAAAACATAAAAAAGCCGGGGCCGGACCGGAAGCTCCGGCCAAGCCGCGCGGCTCGGCCGCATTCTAATTTTTCCGGCTGAAAAAAGCCGGCGGCCCGGCCGTTTGCCATGTCTGGGTTTAACCCATTACGGCATGCGATCCAGGGACGGATAGGTGTAACTTTGTATTCATCGAGAAATGCCTAGTAAGTTAATGGAAGTATCTTCATGATGGTTTTAGTAACGAAAAACTATGTTTTAACTCGAAAAACCATCTGAAACTATCGAAAAAATTTCAAAAATTCGAAATTTGGTGATAAAACGGCCATTTTTGGTCGAAAAATCGATATTTTTTGTATTTTTCAACAAAATTTTGTAAATTTTTTACGGTTAGAAATAGTCAAAAAAGTTTAGAAACATCGCCGCTATTTATATTTCAAAAATTCTTTCTTATGACCCCCCCGATCATGCCAAAGAACGTATGCGATTACGCCATGAAACAGAAATGTTTCAAATTCAGGCACTTTGGCTTCCTAGCACCTTTAAATCGAAAAACTGGCTAGAAAACGCTTACAAGATGAAAATAAACAAAATCCCGTACTTGGCGTAGTATCCCTTGTACGCCTGGCGTACGCGATACTCCAATGGACGGCTGATAGCCACCAGCCGATCGATGGCAATGAAGGGAAGGAGGACCGAACTGACGCATGGCACCCCGGAGAGGAGGATACTGTGGGGCAGTCTGGAAAAGGTAGATTTTCTACAGTACTCGCCGAAACGCTACCGTAAGCAGGCCATTTGCGGAATCGGGCCATCTTCGGGGCCTACGGTAAGCCGGTAGATACCCGCAAAAAGCAAGCCGAGGCTCATTAATGCGTTGAAGAGGACTAACAGGCCGAGGAGACTGTATTCCTGAAAAAAAAAACGATTTTTGTTTTTACGATCGATTTCATCTAGTCTTTCATGGGGCTTAAAGCTTTTAAAGGGCCGGACAAGGCAATATTAGGGAATGCGTTGGCTAGCATTTTTATCTCTCACTATCTCTCTCGCCCCTTCACTTGTTCTCTCTCTCTCTCTCTCTCTCTCTCTCTCTCTCTCTCTCTCTCTCTCTCTCCCTCTCTCCTCTCTCTCTCTCTCTCTCTCTCTCTCTCTCTCTCTGTCTCTCTCTCCTCTCTCTTTCCCTTTCTCTCTCTCTCTCTCTCTCTCTCTCTCTCTCTCTGTCTCTCTCTCCTCTCTCTTTCCCTTTCTCTCTCTCTCACTCTCCCTCTCTCGCTTTCTCTCTCACGCTCTCGCTATCTCTCTCTGTCTCGCTTCCTCTCTCACGCTCTCTCTCTGTCTCGCTCTCTCGCTTTCTCTGTTTCTCTCTCTTTGTCTCGCTCGCTTGTTTGTTTGTTTTCCAAAGTGCTGATCCTAAACGAAAAGTTACAATTTTTCAAGAGCTTTATGTCGTCATAGCGAGGGAGAGAGCGAAAGAGAGAAAGAGAGAGAGGGAGAGAGAGATTCAAATTCTCACCTTCTGTCTTCTCAATGCCCGATGTAATAATATGGATGCCAATATGAGACAATTAGCGACAGCCCCAATCGATCCGATTACGATATAGATGATATCTTCTCGGGGATCTGGATGTGATTGTAGCAAGAGATGACTTGCGTTTAGTGGCATCTGAAAATACAAATTTCCAAGCATCTAAAACTTCAGAAAAAAATGCAAATCTACGAATATTGGAGCCAGAAGAAGAATGAAGCGCCAAAATATGGAAAAAAATGGCGCCAGCGCAAGCTGGCAGAGATTATTTGGGAGCTAGAAAAAGGCGCCATTGGCTCAGGAAATACAAAAATGATACTTTAGAAGCCGCGGTCAGGCTAGCAGAGATTATTTAGGAAGGAGAAGCGCAAAAAATGTGTTCGAAAATTGAATTTAGGGCCAAGGGGTAGCTAGCAGAGGTTATTTAGGACGGAAGAGCCCAAAAAATTCGGGTAAAAATCGAAAATTTTTAATTTAGGCCAGTCCAGGGGCAGGCAAGCAGGGATTCTTTGGGAAGTAAAGCGGAAGAATAACGCGATTTTGGCTGTTTTAAAGAGCACGTTCAGGGAGGGGCCGTGTACTCGTCCCAACGTGTACACCCTATGGACGTAGGGACCGCGCGCACTGCCTACCCGTGCTGTGACAGGCCATTCCCCTCCTTTGCGGCGTGGGACGCCCCTCGCCCCCGCGCCAGGTTGTAGCTGTGGCTGACTGGTATGCATCGGCGCCTCCCGAGCGGGGGGCCCGGGTTCGACCCCCGGCCGCGGCAAAAATCTTTGCTTTTTTCCAAAAAAAGTCCTTGAACGTGCCCTTTAAGGTGGCAGGGATTCGTGCGGAAATCAAGGTAAGACCGCGAAAACGGTAATCAAGGCAGGCTAGCAGAGATTAGTGAGGAGTCAGCAGACTGAGACCCTGAGATGTCCATATTTAGCCCATTTAGCATATATTTTGTAGGATTTTTGCCTTCAACAGCCCTTTAATTTTGGCGTTTCCGCAAATTTTCGAATTTTCCTTTTATATGTTCGTTTCCTGTGGTCAGACAATAGAAAAAATTGGAATAGAAAAATTCGCAAAGGTCCCACGCCGAAAATGGCGCCCAAAAATGGCAAAAATGGCTGCGGACTGGCGTGCGGGGTCAGGGTTTGTAGCCCCAAAATCGAAAGAAATACTACGAGCGCAGGAATGGGCTTGAAATGTCAAGAATTTGCACGTTTCAAGTGGATTCTGGAATGGGGCAGGCTAGCAGAGGCTCTTTGCGGAAAAATGCGGAATTTGGGGGCCTATTTGAAGCTGGAAAATGTTTTAAGACCGGCCAAAATAGCAAAAATGCTTGAGGAAAGCCACAAGCCAACAAAAAATTAATTTTTGTTATTTTAAAGAACTGTTGAAGTCAAAATCGATAACCAATTCACCCAAAAATGAGCGAAAAAAACACCAAAGCTTTTCTTGCTAAAAAATTGGTATTTGGAGGCCATTTCAAGCTGAAAACTGATTTTGCAACCGGGCAAACTAGCAGAGATGCTTGAGGAAAGCGAAAACGCAAAGAAAAACTAATTTTCTCGATTTTAAAGGACCGTTGACGTCAAAATCCGTAGGCAATTCCGGAAATTCCGGAAACCCTCAATTATAAAAAAAAACTTTTTTAATCAATTTAGTCATTTTAAAAATGCCGATTTTCGGGGCCGGTTATTTCAAAAAATAGCTTCATTTTGGAGGGGGAGAAGCCGGGAGCAGCCGCGACGACCGCACCGGAACAAACACATCAACGAGTCTCAAGTCACAAGAAAATGAGAAGGATGCGCGCGAAAAGGGCCCCCCTCGAATTCTCACGCCGACGAAACGTGGAGGAGCCGCACTTCTAGACTCATTTTACATGCAAAACTGGCTACGGAAAGTTGTTGGACGCGAAAACTAGCGAAATACGAGTTTAAAAGGAAAAACTAGAGCTTTTCAAAGCTAATTCAAATTTTTGGAGCTTAGGATAGCTTGGTGTATTGGTAGTGCGTTTGACCGCCACCCGCAGTATCCGGGTTCGGCTCCCGGGCGCGGCAAAACTTTTTGCTTCTTGGGCAAGGGCTAGTAACTGTTGTTTTAGATACAGAAAAGTAAAATATCGTTAAAATTGAGCGCTAGAAAGCTGAAATTTGCCCTTCAAAACGTATTAGAGCTTCTCGACCACCTAGAGATGCAAAACGGCTCCTGGCAAGCTGTTGGGCCTTAAAACTCAGGTTGTACATCTTAAAAACCAAAGACTAGAGCTTTTTAAAGCCAAATCAAATTTTTGGAGGTTCGAATACCTTGGTGTATTGGTAGTGCGTTTGGCCACCAGTTGCACTACCCGAGTTCGACTCCCGGACGCGGCAAAACTTCTTGCTTTTCGGGGAAAGGCTTGAAAATCGTGAATTTTATCGAGAAAAAGTAAATAAGCTTTAGATAAAACTACAGAACCTTGGAATAACGCAAAATTCAAAAAGTCTAAATTTTCAAGTTTTTAAATCCAAAAAATTATCATTAAACAAAAATATCCTCGTGAATTGTACAGCTTCGTAAAGCCGGCTGTATCCGGCCATCGTAGAGTCACGAAAAGTACGCCCGCTTCGCCTTAGACGCCATTTTCAGGTGCAAAAAGGGCAGGTGGAAATTTCGGCCAAATCCCACCGGCCAATTTTCGCGTATTTTCTATATAAGATATTTCCCCTTCATCATACTAATCACGCGGCCGGGGTTCGCCAGTTTTTAACAAACGAGATTATAGTTTTTGGGTGGAAGTTGGGGGTGTAATTGGGGTGTCGGGTGGAAAACTCGACCTCCTGGTGATCATTTTCGCCCTAAGAAATTGGGGAATTTTAAAAAGTCAAAATTTTACAGGCAATTTGGTTAAACTGACAAACAATAAATATATTAAAAAATTTAAAACTAACAAATCTACCCAAAATCTGGTAAACAGTGGAATTGAAGTTTTGGACAAAATCACTAAAATCGATTTAAACATCTAAAAATGACGAATTAAATTATGAATTACACAAAATAATTGAAAACACGCTGAATACGCTCAATAAATTTCTAAATCCATTTAAAATGTAATCGATCTGTTTTCTCAACTTTTTTAGTAAATTTTATTTTTTAAAATTTCGTATTTCGCAGAAAAGGGAACTAAAAATGGTGGATCAAATTATAAATTCTACAAAACGCTTTAAGACGCGAACCAAGCCTTATGAATTCTTAGATCAAATGAAATTTGAATAGGTCTATTTTTCGAATTCAAAAAATTTAATTTTGTAGATAAATTTTTCTATTGATAAATATTTCTTGAAATTCCGCCAAACCTGACGTTGGTTATTTATCTGTTTATTTACTACCCAATCAAGGGGGTAATAACGAGCCATGTGATTCGCAGTGGTGGAAATTGGTGGAATTTCCTGACAATTCACCCCCACCACGAATTTTTGCCGGCCCCCTTGAAGCTGCTGAGGATGGGTCACGCGCTCGCCGAAATTGCATCCAAATGAGGAATCGAAAAAAGGGATGGAAGTATCAAAGATGAAAAATGATGTGTAAATCAGGAAACAATGAAAAAGGTCTATGAATAAAATTTCTGAATGCGTTACGCCATGTAATTCGCAGATGTCGATTCGACCACAGCATTCCGCCCTTTACCAGTTGTGTTCGTTTGACCGGGACAGGATGGCATGCATACAGGGAAAGGGAGAATCTGCGCTCTAGCCCCGCCCCCTGTTCTTTTCCCCCGTGCCCTATAGTCTAGTCTAGTCGATCGACAAAAAAGTCGATCGAAAACTTGCGAACCCTTTACGACGTGCATTTGAGGTTTATCAGCGTTTAAATAGATTATGGACCAAAATTTCCGAATCTATTACGGAATGTAATTGAAATGGTGAAGCCACAACCGCCCATGGGTTCGGTCCCGATGGCTCCCGGGAAAAGGCGTACTGTACGGGTTTTTGCCTGGGGCGCGAAATAGCAGCATGATTTTAGCTGCGCAGGCTTGCTTTCGCAATGACGCGACGCGTCTATCGCACGCGTTGCGGTCTTTCTTGGTTTCCAATTCTACCGGACGTTTTATCAGCGCCGGGCCGCTGTGAAGCAGCACTGCCGAATCCGTGACGACGTGCGATTCGGAAACGAAAAAGAACTTTTTTAATGCGTTACGAAATTTAGGTCAGGCACGAAAATAGGTTAAAAATGATGTAGAAACTAGATAATTGTTCACGCAAATCATAAAGTATCCTGAATCCATTACGACGTACAATTCACGTGTCAATATGAAGCAAAAACTCTCAGAAAATCTTTGCGGTGAGTTGCTTCCGGTTACGCGATGAAATTCGTCTAGAGTTCAGCGTCCAAAAAATAAGGTACAAAGGACAACCTTTTTTTACGAAAACTACCGTGAAATAGAGCTATCCGTAAAGTTTTCCGTGTGGTCACACTCAAGCGCCGGGCATTTCCGCTTCTATACCACTTGTGAATAATTAACGCGGTCTGTTTTAGGTAGCTTTTAGGTAACTAGGATGGATGCGAGATGATCAATCAAAAGACGGCACGACACGTCGACTACGCAATACTCTTGTTGACAGCCTGGCTGGTTGGCTGCGTAACCTACGTAATTTTGGCTTTTCACTCTTCCAGAGATCTATTTTCACCGAAATTGGAATTGAAAAAATGTCTAAGTATTTTCTAAGTCTAAAAAACGTAGCCAAGATTTGACGTAAACGTAAAATCAGGCTTATTTGCCGGGTAGACAATCAAAAACTACGCATGAAAAAACCAAACATCATTTAAATGGCTTGATCTTCAAAATTAAATGGGGGGTTTTTCCTTAACGTATTTTAAAGAAACCTATTTAGCTTTGAAAAATACACGACAACAGTGTTGTAGGTGCATGTAGGTTGTAAGGGTGGAGGGGATGAGATGAGGAAAGACTGTTTCGGAGGGGATGTGTTCTTTCTCGATACAGCACGTGGCCTCTTGAAAAGAGAGAGAGAGGATATTTGGAAGGGGTGAAGAAGATGAGAAGTGACAAGAAGAAGAAGAAGAAGCCGAGAACTAGAGGCACTCATCAGAATCGAGACGGAAGATGAGGACGAATAAACAGACGGATAGACAGGCAGACAGAGAGGCAG